TAGGAAGAACAACCTTCAGAACACGGCCAAAGAGCCCAAAAAACCCAAAACAACCCAAAAATAAACACTTCCCCGAATCTACCATGGCCCTTATCCCAAAGAGCCCGAAAAACCCAAAACAACCCAAAAATAAACATTTCCCCGAATCTACCATGGCCCTTATACCTCCAAGAGTTATCAATCAGAGAAAGGCAAGTACAAAGGCGCAATGGCTAGTATGTCTTGTTTCCTGCAGAAACAGTTTAGAAAAACAATATTTTGTAAGAGGGGCATAATCCTTCTTTACTTTTCATGCTGTTTGTCTCCTTCAGTGGGCTCAAAGGTCCCAGTAGAATAATTACAGAAATGAGGTTTAGTTTGTCCCTGAGGCACCAGGTAGCAAAAGGACTGAGAATTCCTTTTCATGGAGGTTTTCAAGGGAAAGTGTGAACATTGTGCATAAACAACTGTCAGAGTTGTTGGTGATACGGGTTTATTTTGTTTTAGGATAAGGCATTGCATTAGTTTACCATTACCAATATAACCTTTTCCATTTCTAAGTATAGTTGAAATGGCGGAGTGACATTCCTTTTCTGGACCCTTTCCACTTATCTTACAATGTGTTTTTTGTCTAACAAGCAGGTAATTGTGTTAACTCTAATGCTTGCAACTCATTTTACTTTTGCTATTCTGCTTTTGCTTCACTTGAGATTTCCTGGCATTTTTTTTTTTTTTTGAAGAAAAGAGTTAACTGACGGTTTCCTTATCATATGTCAAGTTTCACAGGTATTGTAATGTTTCAGTTCATTACATGTCACTAAGACTGTAAAATAAACACCTATTAGAAACGTGGCAGATAAATAAGAGGCAGGACTCTCTGTTGAATGCATGCCCTGTGAATAAATTCAGCAGCTTTTAGATCACTACACTTTGTGTTGATCAGCCCAGGAAATAAAGTGACAGAGCATTTGCCAATTTTATATTGGCTGTAGACTGTGCAAACAAAAATACAGGAAGAGAATTTAATTTGGAAGCTGGACTCAATTCCTGAGACATGAAATGGAGTAGGATCATTTTCTGAAGAGCTGGATTATCATTAAGTGCTTTACTATCATATTATCTAATGTTATACATAAAGTTTTATGTCCACCAGCTTAGCATTTTAAAGATCTCTAATACTATGACAATAAAATTGAGTGCGGCAGCTAATTTTATATTCAATAATAAAAAAACCTAAAATCTGTGATGAGAAATCAGTCATCTTTTAAGCTCTTAATAAAAGGGAAAAATCCCAAGATGTGAATGGCATTTGGTTTTATGCAACACAGTTGATTACCATATTCAAGATGAGTATTGATTCATACATGAACATCCTCTGTTTTTACTCTTTTTCAGGTTCTCATACTGTGAAAACTAATTTGGAGTTTTAACATTTATCTAAATAGATTAATTTTAAAAACAACAACCCATAATTATGCCTAAATGTTGGCTATAATTTAAATTCCTTTTTCAATATAGATACATTACATTGGGCAGGATCCCGGGGTGTTGGATCAGTTTGTAGAATCAGGATTAGCTTTTAGATTGCAGTCTCCTCAGAATCTAAAAAGATTTCTAAATAATGCTGTAGGAGAGCCCAAAAGAATGTGCACTGAAGCCTACATTCTTGGCAATGAAGTCTGTCTTGATTTGTTGAAGCACTTTAATGAATAATCATCATAATGCATTTAATTGCAACTGTGAAGAAATTGCCTTTTGACATTCTCCACTCTATCTCTGAGCATAGATACATCAGTGGGACTGATGTGAAGGAGAATTTTTTTCAACAATTTCTTAGTGGTGAGACTGACCCTTAGGAGTAGCTGCTGCCCAGCTTTCATCTCTCTTCCCAAATTATTTTTCCACAGTATCTCTGCAAGTCTGTTGGAAACTTGATCATTATTTTGGTAACTTCACAGTAACTTATGTTTAGCGATATGATGTTGTGATGGCAGTGATAAGAAAGCAGCCCTTAAAAACATGGAAAATATTATTTTTAAATAATTCTGCAATCTGGCTTCATCAGATGTGGGGGAAAAATACAGATTCAAAATTTCTGTCAGGAAAAAAAATCATTTGAGGAATTTTGGCTCAGTGATTGCAGTTTTTAGTACTTCAGATATTCCAAAGCTCATAGTACTGAGAGGGCTGATGCTGACACATGTTATCTCTAGTGGAAATATTTTTGATATTAGCTCTCCCACTGTAAGTCTTGTAGTGGGCGTCAGGTAGAATGGGGCTGCGGCCCTAATTTGTCTTCTTGTTCCTCAAAGGTTTCTCATGAAAGTAGATTGCATTTTTCCGTCTCATTCTTTGGACACTTTAGAATTATGGTTATGTTTTTCAGTTTGCCATAACATTACAAGGTGTTCAAAGGTTTTGAACCTAGTGGTATTATATAACAGGTTTAAGTTTAAAGCAAAATTCTAAGTATCAATATGTATGATCTTCTTATATTGCCCCCCCCCCTTTTTTGGCAGCCCTGATGGTGCTATTTCAAAGATCTGCAACTGATTGTAATATTTTATAAAATTATATGGCATTGTTCCCAATGGCCCAATTTGAAAACTCTTTTGGAAGGGGATTTTTTCTCTCTCAAATTGAATGAGAATGGTCAAACTTCTCCTGCAAGAACATTTCAATGCAGCACTACTTTTAATTGTTAAAAGTCTATGTAGAAAAGAAGCTGCCAAACCCAATTTGTACAATTTGTATTATTTACATTATGGTGTGAGCCACACAATTTTGCTTGATTTGTGCAAAAAAAATAAAAAAATAAAATCATTCATGTTCTCATTCTCCTCACTTATCATGAGTGCCATAAAATACTCACCATCTGGCAGAATGAGTAGAATAGTTTTGGGCTCCTGTATGATGACATTACATATAAAAAAATCACATTCCCGTGGAAGATCACAGTCTGTAGGATTGCTGGAGAGATTAAGCAATGTCCCACTATGCCAACAAAGCACACTAATACAATATTGAATCTTGGTCATTCATTTTAACTTCATTTCTGAATATCAGTAAGTTTCATTCTGAAGTATATTTAAAGCCATAAAGTCCAAGCTCAAATAATCTGAATAAAAAAATTCAGGTGGAAAAGTCAAATAACAGAAAAGAGTAAGGGTTTCATAACTGATTTGTCTAGACTGGCCTGTCACATAACATACATTTTGCTTTTTTTCCCCAAGTTACCGTAAATGTAACTTGGAAAAGGGTTTTGCAGGTTTTTCAATCCAACTGTAACATAAACTAGAATACCATACAACTCAATCTATGTCATGAAACATAGTTATATATGATTCTAATTAGATATGGGTGAGTTGTCCCTCTTTGTGAATAATCAAAAGTTGACAACTCACAAAGTTGCCCCCATGAAGTGATGAATAACGAAGTTATTTGTCGATTCGTGGGAGGGTTATTAAAAAAAATATTCCCGCCCTCCCACTGCGACCACCCCCAACCCCACTGCCACCACACCACTGCCTGCCATAAGAGAATTCAGGCTGCCCTTTGCAAAGAGGGCAGCTGCAACTTACCTGCCCTAAATGAAGCAGCAACTGCCTTCTTTGCAAAGGGCAGCCAATCTCCCTTTTTTACATGCCGTGGCTGGGAGGCCTGATAGAGACCTCAGCAACAGTGATTAAGGTAAGGGAGTGTTGGTAGGGGTGGGGGCTAAGGTAGGGAGAGGAAGAGGTGGGGTAGTCTGTGAGGGTGGCTGCCTATGGGGGTGGGTGGCTGCCTATCGGCCACTGATCAGTTGATCAGCAGCCGGTAGGCAGACTTTTTTTTTTTTTAAACTAATTTTATTTTATTTTTTTGGTAATACGAAGGATGAATACAAATGGGTAAATATTCACCCCTTTGTATTCTGGAGGTCTCTGGAAGCCACGAATATGAAGGGATGAACATTTAACAAATCAGCTATTTTTGTCGAAAAAGCCAATCTGTTTTTATATTCATCCCCATCTCTAATTCTGATTATTAAACTTGAAAAAGTTGAAAGGCTTGAACTGTGCTGAACATACAGGAAACCTTTTCTCGTCCCTTGATTATGTATCAGAAAATTAATTTCTTTCTTTTGTTTATCATCAACTACCAATAATCTAGCTCCAGTAATCTGGACATCTTTTTGAACTAAAAAAACCCTATACATTAAATAATCAAACACGGAAAATGGTGCCTTTGCAAAATGGCAGTGGGTCATCGCTTCCTAATATGCACAGCTCTAATTTCAGTATGATTTGTACATATTGTTGCACTACTGGCATTACACTTCTGACAGACATAGGCTAGAGTTACATTTTAAATAATAAGATTTAGTAATATTGTGCCAGATATCAAAATAGCCTGCCATTGCCATTAAACTCCCACATGTTCAGCTTTTTCACTTTCATTCAATAAGAGCTCTGTTCTTTCGAAACTGTTGCCCTAGTCATGGGTCCAAGGCCTTTTCCATTATGTGCACATTGATGATTCTTAAAACTTCACCTTCTTTGCAGAGTGGTGAATGCTTCCTGCTTGTTTGAAGTTGAGGCCCAGTTCAAGAAGGTAATGATCATAACTTCCATCTGGATCAGTTGAATTTGATCCTAGTGAACTGAGAGACCCAGCTAGTGACCCTGTACCTTCAAAGGCATAAGTCTTAAGGGAATCATAAGGGGGCACGTTAGGATCAGAGTTTGCTTCTTCTAGCTTTTGTGAAATGAATTCCCGGAATATAGCACTCTCAGGGCCAACTTGCAGAGATTGCCTGTAAAGGCTCTGGATCTGTGTAGTGATATTTCTTCGAGGCTTGTGTTCCCTCAGAACAGTTTGGTTCCTCAGTGCTGAAATATCGAAGGCTTCTGTGTCTTGCTCTCCACCTCCTTCATCGTCATACTTAACAATGTTCTCTCTAAATGCTTCTCCTTTCTCATGAAATAGGGGAGGTTTTGTCTGCTGCTTTAAGGCCACAATTGCCAGAAGAAACACTGGTGAACAAAGAAGTGATAAGAGGAAAATATAATAAGTGCTAGAACACAACACAAAGATTAGAATTTACTAATAGAATTTTACTAGTAGAATGTATTAACTTCACAAACTCTTACAATCTTTCACTGGCACCTATGCAAAATGTTGCTGTAGGGCAGAGGTGAAAGGTGATGACATTTGCTTGCTGACACAATGTGTGAATAGGATGGTACACAAATGTGATGGGTCAGTAACATCATTGTAGGAAGCAAAGTGGTATGTGAATTACAACTACATGAATGCAATCGAGGTCATTTGTACACAAGAAAAAAAGAATATGCACACGATCAAAGTACTGTTTCAGGTCTCAGCTTATGATGCTTAGGTACCTACCTGATAACCCCAGACATATTCCCCTTCACAGAAAGGTCATTTCCCACTCTAGTGGGAACAATTTTTCAATAACCTACCCCCATTCCCCAAAACAAAAGCACTTCTGATTTCTACTCTCTTGGGTTGCTGCTGTTGTTGTTGTTTTGGATTCTGGTGCAGTCTTGCAGTGAATCCTAGGGATAAACAACTTGCCCCCAGACCTTCATGAGCTGCCAATTTCTGACCTACTCCTATGTCTCTGTCTTGATCTATATTATGCTTGTATTATCTTTCTCCATAATAATAATTGTATTATTTTTCTCCAAAGGATCTCCTGTATGGAGAATTAGTGCAGAGAAATCGCCCCAAAGGGAGACCACAGCTGTGATACAAGGACATCTGCAAGCGGGATCTGAAGGCCTTAGGAATGGACCTCAACAGATGGGAAAACCTGACATCTGAGCATTCAGCCTGGAAGCAGGCATTGCATCACGGCCTCTCCCAATTTGAAGAGACACTTGTCCAGCAGGCTGAGGCAAAGAGGAAGTCACAAAAGCAGCAAAATCAGGGAGCAGGACAGGGGACAGATTGAATTTGTCTTAAGTGTGGAAGGGATGGCCACTCTCGAATCAACCTTTTCAGCCACACTAGACACTGTTCCAAGTCCTCCATACAGAGCACATTACCATAGTCTTTCGAGACTGAAGGATGCCTAACTAACTCTATCTTTCTATGGGAAATGGGTTATATATTATGTACAGAACGGATTCCAGATATGTGTATGTTGAAAGAGGCAGGTAAAAACTGAATTTCCTGCTGTCATTCTCTTCTTTTCCTATCCAATCCCAGATCAACTGAAAATTTTCTCTGAGTTATGAGACAGTGATGAGGGGGATGGTCTTTTGGCTACAGACTGAAAGAAATGAGGGGGAATCACAATTTGGGGAAGCTTTGTATGAGAAGTCAGCTTCCGTCCACTTCCTTCTCTGGTTGACCACCTGAGCCCAAAGCATACTGTTGCAGTCAACCAAGCAAAGGATCCTGTTTTAGTCCTCAAAAAGGCTGAAGTGATTATTTATATTGCAGAAAATGAACAGACCTTACCTAATATTATTAGCGCACAAGCCACAACAGCAACTAAAGCTTGTACACTGATACCCATTGAAAATAGCATTGCTCCATATCGACAAGACTGGATGTGAACTTCTTCATCACAGTCACACACAGTGATGGTTAAAGTGTTGGTGCTAGTGAGGGGTGGAGTTCCGTTGTCAGCAATAAGAATTCTCAAGGGAAAGACAAATTGGTCTCGGGCACGGAACCCACTTCTTGTGGTAACAATTCTGGCTGTGTTATCTGAAACAACAAAACAGAGAGTGTCACATGTGGGGGCTTTCCAAATACAGCAAGAACTCTTTTGTTATAGAAAAGAATATATTCTAATTGAATGTGTCTTAAAATCTCTCCCTGTGTGTGTTTATGTGCCTGTGTTTATGAGTGTAGATATAGACATACATACATACATACAGAGAGAAATGATATTTGTATGTAACAGTTTCAATTGAGTCATGTTAAATATTACAGCACTGTCTAGTTACAATGGTGGATTTCTTTGTTATTTTTGTTTTTGTTTTCAGTTAGTTTATGGGAATAATCCTATTCATATGTTCTCAGATCTAATTCCAATTGTATCTAATGTGTCTAACTTATAAGTTAATGTCCATTCCAAGAATAAGGACAGGCAACTCTTTCATGGCTCTTCCAAATCCAAACACCTGGGTGGCATTGTTATTGTCACGGAATAATCTCTTCTTAATTCAGGGTTGTGTGACACTTTTATTAGAATAACAATGGTGTTGCAAATCTAGCAATCATGGAAGTTCTACAGAACTCTACAGAGTTCTACAGAGGAGAAATGGTGTAATGTTTTGGGGACTGAGATGGCAAGGTTATAAGATCAGCGGTTCAAATCCACGCAGTTCAAATCCCAGCTCCTGCCAACCTAACAATTCAAAAGCATATAAAAATGCGAGTAGATAAATAGGTACCACCACAGTGGGAAGGTAATGGTGTTCCATGTCTAGTTGCACTGGCCATGTGATCACAAAAACTGTCTACGGATAAATACTGGCTCTATGGCTTGGAAACAGGGATGAGCACCTGCCCCCCAGAGTTGGACATGACTGGACATTTTTCAAGGGGAACCATTACCTTTACCTTAGGGGACTGAAGATGGGTGGGAGCGAGAAGTTTGTAAATCTGCTTCTGTGTAATGACTATTGTCTCTGCAGATCAACTGACCCTACGGTGGGGACTGCAGATGCAGTGAAGAAAATAAATTTTTGACGGTCAGTTTGGATAACATGTTAAAGGTAGCTCTCTCTCTCTCTCTCTCTCTCTCTCTCTCTCTCTCTCTCTCTCTCTCTGTGTGTGTGTGTGTGTGTGTGTGTGTGTGTGTGTGTGTGTGTGTGTGTGTGTGTGTGTGCGTGTGTAAGCAAAAGGCTGTCTAAGACCCCTAAAGACTTGTTCATTACCTGGAAGAAACACACCAGCCACTCTGTTGGTTTATACTCAATGCGCAGAATCACGGCAAGTAGCTCCAGGAATCTGAAACTGAGAGGTACTGTAGTTGTTCCTTAAAACTACCTATTATTATGGGCCAGGTGATGTAAGTCTGAATGAAGTATCTCCTTATTCAGAATACAGTGAACTTTCTAAAAGTTAGTGGTATTGATTTATTCACCTAGCCAGAACATTCATATAATTAGCAAAGTCAATATGAGCAATGTATAGTTTAGTTGAATTTGAAAAAGCTCTTCTTCGAAGTCTCAGAAGGCTGCCTTTAAGTGGTTGTCTTTCCTGCAATTTCATCAGCTCTTGAACTTAGGTTTTCCCTTCAGATTACTTTCGATTGGTGTCCCCCTATACGATTCTTTCCCAGACTTTGGGATCAATACAATTGCTGAATAACACCACAGCACAGAAAAGTCATTCATATGATGTCATCAGTATATTGATGAAGACAGTGTAATGAGGAACAAGAAGCAACTTTGAGTAATTGTGAACTATATGCCTCTATCTTTAACTTTGCTTTAGTGGAACTAAATAAAGCACAAGCTTTTATTAACATCCAGTCTTTGTTTTATTTAAAATCTGCTTTTCCTTTCCATTACTAATAAAACCTACCAAACGATAATGGACAAATTTTTCCTGATAAATCTGCCATATTTAGAGAGCAATTATTGGCACATAAAATGGCTTTTTAGATTTTTTTCTATTTTTATTTTTATTTATTTTTATTTCAGAGTACCACCACAGCAGATCCATAAAGCAGATATAGAAATAAGAATCTGCCAATGTTCCTATAGGAGTGGGCAAAGGTAGTGCCCTCCTAAAGGTTCAGTCGAAGTCCAGCACCAGTTTTTGATAATTATTCCAGGTACATCTGGAAGGTCTACAAGCAAGCCATGAATGTAAGATGCCAGCCATGCTGCTTTGTTTTCAGCCTCTTGTCTTCAGAGATACAATGCCTTTGAACATGGACATTCTGTTTACTTGTCATACCAAACAGCCATTCTTAACACTTAAATTCCACACACACAAACACATGCAAAATTATATGGAATCTCCTTGAAGGCCATTTTCCCTTAGGGATAATCTGTCTGTGATTGTTGTGGGTTTTTCGGGCCCTTTGGCTGTGTTCTGAAGGTTGTTCTTCCTAACGTTTCGCCACTCTCTGTGGCCGGCATCTTCAGAGGACAGCACTCTGTGCTCTGGTGTAGTTGGCTTTGGGAGTGCTCCCAAAAATGTTGTATTGTTAACATCCCTGCTCAAGTCTTGCAAACCCAGAGTCACGGCTTCACTAAAGTCTTTTCACACTGCCTTCAACTTTTCCCAGCATTACTGTCTTTCCACTTAGATTTATCTCCTCACAATGAGCCCACAGTGCAATAGCTTCAGTTAAAATTATTTTATGTCTAAAGAAAACTTTGGATTTTATTATGTATCGGTAGTGTGACTAATTATTAAGGAAACAAAGAAGATACTTGTCCACTGGAAAATATTTAATGTGTGATACCTACTTTGATTATCTTCGACTGCAAATCCTGAGCTGTTTGTAGCCTCCTCAGTCAAGTAGAAGTAAAACTGGTGGCCTTCTGGGGAATTATCTTTATCCACTGCACTGACAGTCTGAATGAGCTGGAAACATACATTGAAAAACAATATGTTTAGATCAGAATACTCCTGGCTTTGTTTTTGTAGACAAGTGCACCACAACTGCATTCAAGGCCTTCTGTTCAATTAACAAGGTCACATTATTTTCCTTAAAAATAAATGTGGGGAAAAAATCGGAGTATGGTGGTACCTTAAAGATTCACAGATCTTTTCCCCATGTGAGCATTCATGGATCACAGTCCACTTCTCCAGACACCCGGAATACAATCGATTTCCTTCAATATTCCTTAATTTCCCCCCTTGTAACCCAAGGACAGAAAATGTATTTGCTGCTGTTACAAACACACATCACTTAACACAATTCTATTGTGCTTGTTGATTTTCCAATGTTCTAACAATTATGCTGCTTGATTTTGTATTAGGAAGGAGGTAAGCCCTATTAGCTTGGGCTAATGCAAATGGCTTGTAGAACTGAAATGCAAAGGTTAAACCAAGTTTCTATATGTAAAAAGAAAAAAAGAGAAACGAAAAGATGTTTAAAGTATTCTGCCCTTCCTTTGTTCTCCAAGGTGAAAAGTATATCATTCTATATTTGAACACATCCTTCAGTACGAAAACCTATTTCCTTCCAGCCCACAAACATCACAGGCATCACTCAAGTGATGTATTATAGTTGCCGTGACCGCAAGATTGTGACAAGTTCATGTGCTGAATTGTTGATTCTTTGAGATTGTAACAGATTGATTATGGCAACACTTGGGTATGTTTTCAAGGAAACAAAATAGCCCACATTTCCAAACATATTGAACCAGATTGTCGTTTGTAATAGGAGAAAGTCCAAATTAGCATCTTTGTATTCAAAAATCATAGATCCCATCATCTCGAATAAACAAGTCATGCTGCAATTGTTAAAATGAGCAGCCGCTCTGCTCACAAAGAGTAAATATTTGTTACCATTATCAGTTGATGCTATTTGAGGACTCATATGTTATCACTGACAGCATTCTTTATCTTCCTCTTTCATTCTGACATTATCTTGCCATTTCAATGCAATGCCAATTCATTTTTTCCCCATTAGGATGGTAAGTCATCTAAAGTACTCTTTAATGGCCAATTATTTGGGGTTTAAAAATTGAGTGTTGCCGAGTGCAGGGTCAAAGAAGCCTACAGAAGGTTACAGAAATTACTTTGTGATTATGGCGCAATCACAAGTTCAGTTCAATGATCCTGTGGGCTAATGGAGCTTTTTAAGGAATGGTTCCTCCCCACATTGCTAATATTCTGATTTTATCATCTGCTGCTTTTTTACTTAGGATGAGGTATAAGCTGCTACATCCACCTGACACAAATAATACAGTGAGTATTAAACTTAGATCCCCTTGAGTTATTAAGCCAATCTAATAGTGAAACTGTTGGCCCTCTAACACACATTTTCTACCACACATTGTCAACTGTTGCTGACACTTACATTAGCTACAATTCCATGCTATCACAACACAAGCATGGAAAGGTGAGGTAGACCACCATCCATATAATCCTATGTTGTTCCCCATTCTTATTCAGAAACCATAGGATATGTTTAGGTTGTGGAATACAGGTTTCTTATAAATCTTTTTCTTCCCTGTTTTTTGTCATTGTTGTTTAGTTGTTAAGTCACGTCCAACTCTTCGTGACCCCATGGACCAGAGTACACCAGGCCCTTCTGTCTTCCACTGCCCCGCGGAATCTGGTAAAATTCATGTTGGTAGCTTCCAAACATCTCCTCCTCTGTTGTCCCCTTCTCCTCTTGCCTACACACTTTCCCAGCTTCAGGGTCTTTTCCAGGGAGTCTTCCCTTCTCAAGAGATGGCCAAAGTATTGGAGCCTCAGCTTCAGGATCTGTCCTTCCAGTGAGCACTCAGGGTTGAGTTCCTTCAGATTGGATAGGTCTGTTCTCCTTGCACTCCAGGGGACTCTCAAGAGTCTCCTCCAGCACCACAATTCAAAAGCATCAGTTCTTCAGCGGTCAGTCTTCTTTATGGTCCAGCTCTCACTTCCATACAATTAATGGGGAATTGCTGCCCAGATTAGAATTTGGTCTAGATGGGCAGGGTATAAATCAAATAAATAAATAAATAAATTGCATTTCACCAAAGCCAAATGAAGTGCTGAACATTTTTCCCTCTGGCATTTGGTTTGTTTCCTCAAAACAGGATACCTGTCTGCACCTTTCCCACTGCCTCTGTCACCTCCATCTAGCTGCTCCTGCTGTCACAGCTTTGGGTGCCATTCTCAGGGGCAGCAGAGCTGGACGATGGCACTGGGCATTTCCTCTGATCATGTGCCTGTGGTGGCAGAAGTGGCAGGAGGAGGTAGGGCTTACCTAGGCATGAACTGGAAAAACAAACTATAAACTGGTTCGTTTTTCCAAGGGTCGGTGGTGGTTCATGGTTTGTGGTTAGCCATGAACCGTCATGAACCACTGGTTTTCCAGTGGTTCATGCCCTTCTCTACCTGCCAATCATGCTGAAAAATGCAGATACTGAGAAATGATTTCTTTTTTAAAAAAAGAATCACAATTTGGCTGTATGCCACAGATTGATACATGTCCACTCATACTCAAGTCCAATTTGCCACTATCCTATTGCTGCTTTGAACTACAGCGGAGGAACATGGAATCAATTGCTGAATGGTAGGTCAACATGTAAGTAATTCCTACTGAGTAAGTGGAAATACAGTACTCAAAGTGAAACTACCAACACAATGTGGCCTATATCTAAATGGCTGCCTTATTCAAGTAATTTGGTAAACACATGGAAACTGCATACATCAAGGAGAGCATGTGCTAGCCCCGCACCCTCCACTGTCACTTTCAAAATGTGTTGAATATAGGAGTGCAACAGATGGAAGCAGTGGGTAGGTTGCTGTATCCACTTGGGCCTCTCCGTGTAAGCCAGAACTCTGTTGTTTCCTATTTCTTTCAGATAGGATAATACAATTTTAACTGAACTGGAGTTTTTAACTCACTGAACTGTTAATTATTTTGTGCTACCATTAACATATCTGATCCATTTAAAAAACGATCTCAATATTTATTCAGAATGAGCTCCAAGTTTTTAAAAATACCAAAAAGAAAAAGAAAAAAACACCAGCCAACAACACCCATATTAGGGTGATACTTTTATTAGGCCAACAACAACAACAAAAAGGCACTGGTAGTGTTTGGTTCTCCATCTTATACAGTATGAGTCCCAGCAGTGAATTATGAGCTGTATTGATTCTGACTGAGTTTACAGGCTCTCTAGTCAGTAGAAAACAGAGAGCCACCAGGTAGCCTTTGTATTGTCAGTGATGGAAATAATTCTAGATACAGGATTAAGTAAAGGAAGTCAATAGCAGAGAAATTGGGTCGTTTTACCCATTGTGCTGAATACCTTTCCAGTTTCTAGTGGTATAAACCTCTCCAATGTTGGGTCCCACTGCAAAATAGCTAAATCTGAGGTCCACAACATAATAAACAAAAGCAAGAACAGCCATGTTGGCAGGGAACAAATTTCAAAATCCATACTGGGGTGACACATTGATTATGCCAACCAAGAAAAGCAGAGAAAGTGGGAAGTTTTTAAGATTATCATCTCTTCATCAGATGAGATGTTAGAGAACTGAGAAGAGAGAAGATATTAATCCCTTACAGTCCACATGGATTTCCCATATCTAGTGTGCCCCTTAATTAATTAGCTGAAGGGAAAAGTTCACTGAGTAAGCCATAGTCTAAATTTAACAACAATAAGACTGCACTAATTGTTTCTGGATCAAGCTCTGAAACACCTGCATACTTTCTGCTAAAGCAATGGTAAGAGAGTTTAGCAGTCCTCTGGAAAACGTGCACCACTCACTTTACTTCTTGTGCTAAAAAACTAATTACCAATAATTCTTTTATATCAAAGCTCATTAATCTGAGTAGTATAGTAACATGCAAGATAGTGGAGAAGATTGCCACCCGAGGGACTCATTTGGTATGTTGGTAAAGAAATTAATGCCTTAAGGCTGGGTCATTTCAGGCAGCCAATTTTGGGTGTTGTCAAGGAGCACAAAATTGTTAGTTACTTTAGTTACTATTACTGGACGTTTACTTCAAGGGAAAAATAAAGATACTTAAGATATATGTGTGTTTCCAATGTGCATGTCCGCAAGTTACTACAATTTACTGTGTGTGTGTTATTTAGCTAGCACTGATTTATAGGGACCCCAATAGGGCTTTCAAGGCAAATGAGTAATTCTATCAATTCCATTCCCTCCCCATGAGTTCCCATGGCTGAGTGGGGATTTGAACCAAGGTCTTCTGAGTTCCAGTCCATCACTATACCACACTGGCTAATCACTAAACAGAATGTATCAGCATTTTCTTAATTTATCCAGAATGCTTCACCATTTTTAAAAGCATATCTGTCTTGAATTATGTTCAAGCCATCATTCTTTGAAGCAGTTGGGGTGACTCTTTTATATGGAGCTAAGGTCAAGTAAAGTAGCTTTCATGTTTACTGTAACTGCTGACTGTTTCGTTTTATGCAAAGTGCTTCATAAATATGTGTTGTGTTGCTGTTTCTGACTCAAAGTGCAAAATACACATTCACCAGATTTACAGTCTAATAAGTAAATGGTTGAGTAAATTGCTATATCAAATTCAATTCATGGATGATCCTCAAATTACAGGTATTTTTGCCAGAATAAATATGTATTAGAAAAGGCAGCATTAATTCTGAATGATCAGAGAAAATGCAATGCCTTGTCTTAAAGTTTGATTCTTGTGCTGTAGTAACCAAGGGCAGTATCCGCAAAAGGTGATGCTATACACAATTGAGATGAGCCAAACATTTTCCAAGTCTGTTTTTCAGTTTCATTGTATTGATTTGAGGAAGCAACCACTCTCCCCATTTAAGTATGTCTTTCTTTTTCCATACCTGGCCATTAAAATTCACAACCACTATCCAATATGTGATTTTGGTGCCCACACAACATGATGCATCCCTATGGTGTTGATCTGT